TTAAATCGAACAACAAATGCCTGTGAATCCTTTCATAGTCATCTGAGAAATTCGTTTTATAAAAGTCATCCGATCGAATGTTCACATTTTTAGTAAAGTTCTTATCGAATTTCAAACCCAAACTTATATTAAACTAAATGGCATATCTCAAGTAAATCAGCTAAAAATTCGAAATAAAAAAAAAAAAAAATGACAGTATTACAGGATGCTATGAATAGGTATACTAATAAAGAAATACAAAACTTAGAATATTTGCAAATTGTATCAAATCATAGTTTTCATACATGAAAATATTTATAACGATTATTTATTTATTTTTTATTGTATTTTATTATATTATGTGGACAATTATTAATTATTATTATGAAAAATATGATTTTGGATTATTTATTATGATTTTTTATGCTATGATTTAAATATTGATATGATATGATATTATATTATATTATAATTTTTTTTTAATGATATATCTTTTTAATTTTATACTACTATTTGATTTTCTTCACTGGCGGAGTTTACATGAACCCAATTTTACCTGTTTTTTTTTTCTGGCGGAGTTTACAGTAAAAAAAGATACTTGTGGCGGAGTTTACATGCGCCCATAATATTATTATTATGTATATTTACTATGCACAAAATTATTATAATTATTATAATTATTTATTATATACATAATAATAATATTATATTACATACATGAAAAATAAAATCGTGATGAAACGATTTTGGTTAAACTGCGCGTACAACGACGGCAATCATATAAATATTAAGAATAAAATTGCATTAATTCATTAGTTTACCGCGAGCGGTGACGATTGTATTCCTTTATTGTGGTCGGTCGATGCATACATTTTATATACCCACCGTTGCAACATAGATAAACAATTTTTGTTTCAAAAAATTAAATTAAAAAATTAAAAGTCGATAAATCTGCTAACGTAGGCATTGTAAATAATTGTAAAATATACTGGGTAAGATATAATAAGTACCTAATATGTCTACAACACACATATTATATTATATTGAAATTTATAAAATATATAGTATGATTTTATGACACAAGTATTAAAATTTCAAAGAAATTGATCAATTATTTAAAAAAAAAAAACAATACAATAAAATATAAAGTCGATAAATTCTATTGACGCAGGTATTGTAAATAGTTGTATAATAAATATAAAATAAGTATATGCCCATACGCTGCAGCTGCGTGTGTTACTCTATACGGAAATTTAATAAGACAAGTATCAAAATTTGTAAGCCTCTCGTATTACGTACCCTACGCGCATAACACGGAGCGCACGGACGTGCAGGAAAATATTTTATTATACCGTTCACGCGCGCTCGACACGCATGCAAATATATTGCAAACGAACGCGTATATATATATATATATACAGCCGTCACGTGTGTGTGCATATTGTTGTGGTTGTGTAGGCACACAATATATAATTTTTTTCGTTGATCGATAAGCGCGTCGGTTGTCTTTTTCACCCTGTCAAAATAATTACCGAGTAGTATAAACCTCCTCTCAATATAATATACTTATTATACACACACTGCATACATAAATATATATATAGGTGCGAGGCATAGTGTCGCGAGTCACGGTAACCCGAACCTCGTTTGAGTGCTCGCGGATATCGGGACCAAAAAAAAAAAAATCCCTCAAAAAACGTCATAACGAATAACGATTACTATTAAAATATAAAAACTCGCCTCCTACGAAATATATTTTACTTTCATTATGTCCCAGCTGCACTGGGAGAGAAATTAAGGATGGACTCTTCCGGATACGACGAAAACGCCACAGTGACGAAATGGTTATGTATAGGGGGGGGGAGGGTCCGTACTCTGTGCTATGCGGCATACGGCGAAGGGTCCCACCTAAAATATTGAAATAAATAAATTTATACGAAAATTAAAATGTAATGTATTATAAAGTTTTATTCCCGTAGTCCTATCCAAATATTGAGTTAGTATAAGTATTTGACAAAATTATCGTAATAAAAATATGCTTTCGAATGTGGGCATTCTTAATACCTATAACAAGTACTCGAGCACGAGGTATAAATTGTTTATAAAATAAATGCATGACTTGAGTTATATTTAAAACCAACAGAAATAAGAGGTGTGATGGAGGGTTCCACTAACGCGTACCAAAGGCCCACGGGTCAGTTTTTAAGGGGGCCCATAATTAAAGGCTTGGGATCTGGAAAGAAAAACTGCTATTAAATAAAATATTTCAATAGATACTTTAAGGACTACGGGTGTCCCTATTCCCCATTATATAGACTAGAAACACGCCAAGCAATAAATAATGTATGATATCCAGCGGTAATAGGCCAAGCCGACACTAGTAAGTTGTTCGTTATAGTAGAGTTATACCAAGATTTTCCTTTAGTAATTCATAGTTTCAATAAGATAAATTGAACTGCAACATGTTAAATTGTATAGCCATTAAACAAATATCAAAAATTCGTTATTAGGTTACCATTTTTGACGATAATTAAAGGGGGAACGGACATATTAAAAACTTAGTAGCCAAACTTAGATTTTCATTACATAAATTCACTAAACTTAAAGATATAATATTGCCTTTAAATATTTTACGTACCATTTATTTTGCTTTTTATCAATCTATTTCTCAGTATGGCCTGTCAGTTTAGGGAGGTGTCAAAGATAACTATTTAAAGTGTCTTCAACCAAATCAAAATAATGTACTAAGAATAATACTAAAATAAAAATCTTGAGTAGGGTTCATCAAAACTAAACTTTTCAAATTTAGGAATTCTTCCAATGAGATACTGATACAAACAATTTGCAATATTTACTTTAAAAAAAATGTATTAACCCATTAAATAATACAGATTTTTCTCAATTAAGAGAACATAGAGCTTATAATTTACCAGTAAAGTACACAAAAAAAACTTTTGGGCAATCTTTTGTAAATTACATAGGTCTAACCTATTTCAACCAGATATCAACTATATCCAAAAATAATATTGGTGGCGTAGTCAATGGAAAAAATGAAGTTTATAAGTAGTTACTCTCCGATTTGTCAACTCCTTTAATATAATAGTCCGTATTTCGGTGATTTTAATAGCTAGTTTTATTGTTTGTTTTTTAATTTTATTTTTTTTCAATATCATTTTATTTTTAGTTCAAATATTATTTAGTGTTTTAATTAATATAATTACATATTCTAATTTCCGGTTGAGATTTAGAACTGGACTTAAGTTTGTTCTTCGTCTATTTTTATATGTATTAATTTATGTTTACATTTATTGTATTTTCATTCTATGCAATTTCAATTCCTTGTATTGTTTTAGATTTTCTGTTTTTATTCATTATTTTTTATAGAAAGTTGTGTATTTCATTAATTTTTAGGTAATAAAGAGTTTCTCGTAATTTACTAATTTACATTGTAAAATGTATATTATTCATTTGTCGAATCTCTATTCCGTCACAAGCCTTGGCTTAAAGGAGTAGATATATTTCTTTATATATTATGTAAAGAAAAATTTAAATAAAAAAAAAAATAGAAAGGGGAAATATTTGTGCTGCATCTTCTATGAACCATATATTATATATGATCAATTTAATTACAAACTCAAAAAATGGGTGCATTCGTCAAAAAATTTACTTTAGGCGTTTAGGTGCACCTATATATTAAAAAGTGGTGTGTGGTGTACAACCACAACTTCACCGACACCACACCATTGCGTGATGTTCGAGCACATGCACAATGACACGTAATAATATGAAGCCACGTGTAATGTGTTATTTTTTCCATTCTCCCATGTTCAACATTGGTCCAAATTTTATTTATTAATAATAATCATTCCTTAAAATTGTAGCAGATTTAAATAAAAATTTTAAAAATTAATAAAAAAAACTATTTAACTATGTATCAAGAACTTATTTAAACTATTCTAATTTAAATGTCTAAATATACATACGTTGCCACTGGTTATAGATAATTAAATATTTCTTATGATCGGATATAATTTTTGTATGGTATTATATTTTGTCATTTATATGTTAATATTATAGATCTATAAATCATATGTTATAATTCTTCTGTGCGTCTGTACATATTTTAACTTCTAAACGGCTGGACCGATTTTGATGAAATTTTTTGTGTGTGTTTGAGTGGTTCCTTAGATGATTTTTATTCACAATGAGACCAAGTAGATGTAATGTGGGTCCCGGACAGGTGCTCAAACAATGACTTTGAGATTTACGACGGAAATTTTTGTTTTTAAATGGTTGCTTTATAGGTTGTAGGGGAAATAATTAGTAGAAATTAGTTTTTTTTTCTATATAAATGGTTACCATTGGTTACTCGGGCAGATGAGGTAAAATTATGCATAAAATCACCGCGTTTACGGTTTCGAATATATAAATTAGAAGAAAAGAAATATGAGAATTGAATTCAAGTGTTAAGCTTATATAGCTATTCAGAAACTACGTAACCTATTTTGTGAAAATGTCAAATTGTTCTTGGAGATATCAGGAAAGTTTAGAGCAGTGGTTCACAACAACCGGTGTGCAGCGAGAAATGTCATATTTGTATAGACTCGTGGTGACAATTATTGCATCCGGTGAAGTTGCCGAAGTTGCTGGGGTTGTCAAGCGTATGAGTATGCCGTGAAAACTTGTGATGTATAATAATATGCCATGAACTAAAAAAAGTTGAGAACCACTGGTTTAGAGAGTACTCTGAACCATGTTCAATTTATACCAAGTGCTATATTATATCCCATCCACTACAGGCAAATTGTCAATCTCGGTCGAATTGGATTACAAAGTGATGTACTGCACCGACCAAATGTTACTCGTGAACTGAGGTACATCAAAACTAAGATACCTAAATATATATTGTATATTTTTAATTTATCTCTGAATTACGCCTAGTAGTTCATAATATACCTAGGTAGTTCATTTCAGTTAAACAAAATGATTAAAAATAAAAACTACGAAATAACACGGAAAGTTTATTTTTTTTTAGGTGATTTTTTCTTTGGTGATTTTTTTCTACTTTCGGTAGTCGCCGCCGTATCTTTGTTGGTCGTTGATTTTTTTTTCTGACCTGTGCTTGGGCTAACCTCCGCTTCATCATTTTTTTCCTCACCTTTTGCTATGGTGATTGCCATATCTCTATCTTTGTGCTGTATGGTGATTTGCACGTTTCCTGCTTCAATCGTTTCGGGATTTACAGATTGGCCAGTACTCGGACCCTGTTGCAGATTATGGGCAATAATGTGCATTTCATTTGAGTCATTTTGATTTTTGCCCTTCTTCGAACCTTTCTTGCTCGTGCTCGGTGGATTTACCTGAGTGCAAGACGTAACGTGAACGATGCATAAAAAAATTCTAAAGGTGGTCAAGTCAATTTTGTGATTATAAAAAAAAACCAAACTGAGAAACTCGCTTTGCTATATTTGCTGTAAGGTATAGTTAGTTTTAAGTGTGGAGGGTATACCTTGTCATTATTTAGTATGTCACTTTGTATGTGTTGAATTTGTAAAAGTAAAAATGATTTTTAGCATTTAACAAAAATAACATTTTCATAAAATACAAAAATGTACTGTCTATAAATAATTTGAAATTTTTCTAAACATTTTGAAAACTTTATTTGTGTATAGAAAATTATATCATATTAGTAATTGTGAAATGTTAAGTTTTTCTGCAATAAATATATTTTTGGATATTTTTTGAAGAAAAATCATTATTTTTTTGGTTGAGCTAGAAAAAACTGTAGGTATATTAAAACAATATCGAAAATAATATGTTGTAAATTGTAAATACAATTTATAGGCTATTATACGAATGCTGCATAGCCGCATAGGTAACCAAAAATCTATGCTTAAAAAACATCGAGGATATCATATTATGTATTTCTACTATAAAAGCAAGTATGCGTTATTATATAAACAGAAATACAAAATAATACTCATATTATAGAAATCCGCAAAGACTCACTATCTATACACGTACTATTATGATAGATGGATTGTCACTTTGACGATTGTCCCCAAAAATGTTTTGACACACCCGTTTGAAACATATACACATTTTTGCAGCTCGGAATTATTGTTTATTATATGTTAGTTTATATTTAATTAGTATTATATGTTTGCGATGTTTAAAAAACAAAATTAATTAAATTACGTTAAAACAAGATTCGCGATTAATGGAAATCAATACCCTTGATAAAGTTACTATGAATAGTGTATAGTATAATTTATCTAGCCAACTACGAGATATATATATTTCCTATGTGATCACGTCATAACGGGACGAAGTGCTTATAACAACCATATACAATTCTTAGTTATAACGTATAGGTACTTAATTTTTTTTTCAGATTCATAATGGAGTTATTTGCTATAACATTTTGAACAATATACCGCTATAACAGTATAATATAATGATGAAATCAAAATAAGTTTTGAGAACAACGAGATAAATTTTAAATATCTACTCGTATATAATATTATCTTACATTTCAATAATAATCTATTATAATGTGTAGGTTTATATTGTGGTATGTATTATTTATATTGAACGAATCGGGACGACATCGTGCAAAAATATTTTAAACATCGTGAAATATGGGTATAGTAGATATTACTGGCATAAGCGTGGCAGGTCCTCTTCACAGAGGAAGCAAGACTATAGCTGAGAAGGTCCAAGAAAGTCTGGACTCCACCTCCCTCGAGGAATTAGTATTGTAGTTCTATTAACCCATAGTACCTATATTGACCTATATGGACTTTACGGTTAGTCCAAACATACAAATAAAACTACAGTTTTCAATAAGTATCTATTTTTAATAATAATAATAATAATAATAATGTCTTCAAAAAACAACCAAGTAGAAAACATAATTTAAATACCTGACTTTTAAAATAACATACATATTTCTCCAAAGTCCCATTCGTCTTTTGATATTTTCAAAACTTCTATGGTTTCTTCATAATAATCACCATATTATGCTTGATCCTATTCAATAAACATATTTAACAGTCCATTTAATTAGAGAAGCCGTCTTATCAGTTATCTTTGAAAATATATGCTTATATTCAATTTAATACTAGGTATACTTAAACTGATTAATACGATATAATTGTATTGTATATTTATTTATTATTTTGAGATTGCACAATGGAAATATTTTTTAAAAAAACAGTATATTATTATAATTACTTTGACGGAAGATCTAATGGGAGCTGAGAATCTTGTATTGGACTATTGGAGGCAGCTGCCTCCCCTGCCTCACGCCTGCGCACACTTATGAAACTACTGATTAAGGTTTTGTCAAGTATAGGTAATTGCATTTAGGTAAAAGGTACCTAATGTTAATCACAGTTCCGCAAAAACCAAGATTGACTGATCGTCTATAATAAATACATAAATATAGGTAATATCTATAATTTAAAATTGGTAACATAATATACATATTTATTGGGTTTGGCAATACTAAAGAATTAAAATGTTGTGTTTATTGAATAAATAACAAATACAATTTGAAAAAGAAAAAACTAGGTACTTGCCAACAGGCATACAAGGAATATAGCGAAATCGATCATTTTCTATGATTGAAAAAATCAATCATTATTGATGCTTAATTTATTTTGCTCAGCATTATTTTTTAGTGTTGAGCACAACGATATATTTTTTAATACCTATCGATAATGTTCTATTTTTTTTTTCGATATCGATTTAAGGCTTCGATAATTCTGTATCGAATTATCGATATCATGTCAACTTCAAAAACAAAATATTTTTCATAAAACACTCTTCGCACCAGAAAGAGGCATTTTAATTATTTATCAGTTTATTACTCCTTTGCCTTTAAAAAAATAGGTACATTTTATCAACATGTTTATTATATTTATTTTATAATTTTAATATCAAAAGAAGCAGAGTAAAATTATTTAATTCATCCGTGAGATTTGCTTGATAAGAAGAGTAAACACCACATGTATGTATGACGTCTTTTTATTAAAATTTATTGTCAATCTGATAACACAAATAATATTTGAGCATCAAATAATTCAATGGTTGTAATTTTGTAGATTTTGAATACCTACTTGAATAATTATTTTAAATTATACCTAAACAATTGTATTATCTAAAAAATACTCAGTTGAAATTAAAATGAATAATACTATTTTATGTCAAAGAGGATGGGGCCCGGGGTCCGGTTTTCTCCGCAACATTGTCTTTTGCTCTAGGGATGGCCCAGAGAGGCAGCACTAATCCGGCATCGAATAACAGATCTATACAAACTTTTTTGCGACACTCAGCGAATGATTAGATGAATTTCAAAACAGATAATAAAAACGAAACAGCCAGAATATAATAGTAAACAATTATGTAAGTTTTCAACGTTGCAGTACCACTTCGAAAATATATTCAGCATTTGATGTCGTTCGTCGAACAGTGATAGACTATTTATTCTATTTCTTCGAATTGTTTCCTGTATAAGTACCTAATAGGTAAGAGTATAATATGATGTAATTATAGGTAAACCTTATTACCATATTTTAGCTCCACTGTATACGAACCTATTATCAAAGTATAATATTTATAGACTTCTAAAGCTCTAAATTAAAAATGACGTTAATGATTCCTTTGACTCAGTGTATATTTATTGTTAAAATTTGTTTGTTTATTGATATTTTACTACTTCAGTAGCTGAAGCTATTACATGTTATAATTTATTATATTACTTATAATATATTGTTCTAACTAGGCTCAGTAGTGAGTAGGCAAGTGCGAAAGTTAATATCTTAATTTGAATAAAGTATGTTAGATATCAATGCTCTATGCGGATCTATAAAAATGTATTAAATTTACCAACTTTTAATGTCTAAGCTGGCAGATTTCAAGGTGCAAGGTTATTTATAGTTTGGATTTAAATCTAAAATTAATTCAATGAATTTGATTAAAACGAATTTTCAATATACATTCAATATACTTTCTAGATAAATAAATTAAACAGATGCACCAATTTAAATAAATAATAGTTATTTAAGGCAATTATTATATTTAAATTTTATAATTTTAACTTATAACAAGACTGGGCATATAATTACCTATGTATAGAATATGAGATATATTAGGTGGATGAAATGGAATTTCAATTTTAAGGTTTTGAGTCCCATTCCAAAACAATGTGTAGACATTTTGTTAGAAGTACCTACGAAACAGTTTACATACAGTCGGTGATGGAATAGGATTTTCATTATCAGGCATTTTATTCTATTAGTAACTTGTTATGTTTGGCAATGTTAAGTGTATAACAATAAGCTTAAGCCAAATTTGAATCTGATTGACTTTCTGTATTGCTTTCGAGATAGTAGTCACCAACAGGTTTCTGCTACTTTACCAAAACAACTCTTTTATTAAAAAAAAAGACAATGTTATTAGTATAAAAACCTAATATGTATAATGATGAACTATTGTTTTCTGCAGCAGTGAGCAAAATAAGAAAATCAAAAAATCTTAGAAACAAAAAAATTAATTATCTTTAACACTGGAGAGTGCAATGTTGCCAAACGTACCACACATCAATTTTATTATCCACACATCAATTTTATTATCCACACAAGTCACAATATTAAGAATATTCTTAAATACCTCAGTGGATGTAAGCAAAAACTGGCTGTTAAAATCATATCAAGCTATTTAATGTTACGGCTTGGTGATACGGATTTGCGATGTACAACTTTTCGCTTTGGTGGTCTCGTTTCGAAGACAGGAATGTTTGAAAGACTGCAAGTTTGAGTGTGTAGTAATTTCTCATGGCCTGTATAAATTGGTAATTTATTGTACTTAAAAAAGTCCCAGGGCGTATGTCTGGAGGTTTTTTGTATGTAAAAATGTCAATTTGAAAAATGTGTTTTAGTGTCTAGTAAGTCGGTCATTACCAGTGTAAGACATTACCATCAGCCTAAGCAATCCGACTGCGGCGGATGTGAAGTAGTAAGTACTACGTTCTGTCGCTTGTCCCTGTGCTATTTCGTATTGAAGAAGTGTAGTCAAAAACCGTGTTTGAGTGTCTAGCTCAGTCACCTCAAAACAGCATATCAGATAGACAATCTACCTGTGGTGGGTTGCGGACACAGCGAAAAGTGACAGAAAGTGAAAAAATATTTTACTAAAACCTATTAAAGGACATTAAATATAGAGCAGGCGTGGTTGTACGGACCGGTGCTCGGTTCGGCAGAAAGGGTCACCCTATAGTATTTCTAGTGCTCCTTGCCATTTTTTTTAATATAAATTAGATAGAGTAGATAGATTAAAATAGTAGATTATATTTACAATTTATGCAAGGCTAGAATAGGAAAAAATACGAGAAGAAAAAGAACTATGAAATAGTAAATTTATAATTTTAGAAAGTTAACAACTAATAGTTTATGTCTTGGATTTTATCTAAGGGGGAAAAAAATCGAGGTTACTAAAAATGTTGTCTAAAAATTTGTTACCGTGATCCTGAAGGTGGAAGCGACTAGCGATGCCATTCGGTTAGCAAGTGTTTGATGACTGAGAGACTGCAATGTATGAAACAACCTGTTCCGTGTGGGGGAGCTTAAATTGCACGGATTGTTAATAGACAAATAGTTATTTTAATGGAAAAAATCACCTCATACAAAAACTAAAAACATTAGAAAACCTTAATTCTTATCGATGAATTAGTATGATATTTTGTGCACCTCGCGATATCGTCGTGAAAAACTGATCAATCGGCTGACTTATAATAAAATAATATTTAAATAGCTTAATATGTTTAAGTTCTGTACCTATGTCACTAACTTAACTGAGGTCAGTGGG